TGCAAGCAGGCTGCGGTCAAGGTAAGGAATCTGCTTTTATTCTTTTTTTCCTTACTTGGCTTTGTCAGTGGAGGTCCTTCCTCTTTTTGCTTAGCAAGCTGGGCAGCTGCTGCAGCAGTTTGTATTTTCTTCAGCCACTGAGATGCAGGTTCACTGCACTGACTTTGCTGCTGTGCCTGTAGAGAGCAAACACTGGGCTGAGTAGGATTCTCTTCCATTAGTGGAGTTAAGAGAGGAGTAAATGCTGGTTGCCAAGAAAGCAGAGGTGTAATCAGACACACTAATCCATGTCTGGGCTTATAGTTCTGAGTAAAAACCTCTGTAGTTCTGGCAAACTACAGGCTCACGTAAGTAGAAGTACTTTGTAATCCCCTGTATTGGCTACCACCAGGTTGTTTTGTAATAGGGAGATTTGTTTCTTAACCACAAAGGTTCAGGTGGGAATGTGCAAGCTCTCTTCACAGCCATACCTGTAAGGGTCAGAGGGGTTGGGGTCAGCCCCAGCCAGTGTCCTCAGCCATGCTCCCACTATTCTGCTTTGAACTGACCGTGCAACGAGCCCTCTGCAGAGCTCTCAGGTTGTTTTCTTGGACCTTGAAGGTGCTGCAGCACATGAAAGCCATCCAGTCGGAGCAGGATCGACAACGGCAACGGAAGCTCCAAGCAGAGCGAGGTGAGCACAAAGAGCCCTTAGGTACTCTCTGCTGAGGTCTGTTCCTGATGGGTCACACACCTGAACATGCTAACTGCCATCTAACATGCTTGTAACTGTCAAAATCCTGAGGCTCAGGGAGTAGTAGGGTAGAAGGGCTGGAGGGAGAAAGATAGCAGGGGAAAAAATGTGATTTCTTGCCTGAATAATAGTTACATCTCTAGCTGGATTGTGCTGTAGTTTACCTATAAAAACATGAAAGAAGAGCACAGGATTTATTTTAAGGGAAGCCTAATTCTGAGGAAGCCAAATGCAACATCTGTAATACCTAAAAGATTAAAAAAGGATAGTCATTTGATTGGTTTCCTCATTCCAATTGGGAGCAGATAAGCAGGTAATAAGGAAGAAGGTAATGACAACCGTTTACATAAAAAGGAAAAAACTTCCTATTAATCCCCAGAGATGGAGAAGAAACGTGAAGCAGAACAGCGAGCAAAGGAGGCTCATGAGAGGGAGCTGAGGAAGCGAGAGAAGGCGGAGGAAAAGGAGCGCAGGAGACGGGAGTATGATGCTCAGAAGGCTGCAAAACAGGAGGTGGAAAAGAAAACTAAAAAGGAAACTGTGCAGACCCGAAGTAAGTAGTATCTGTTTGGGGTGAGATTGCACCAGATTCCATCCTCGTCATTTCGCTGCTGCTAGATTTTCTTTTCTAAGGGGAACCTATAGGACAGGTGTTACTGCTGCGTCCTTTTCCCCTTCATCTGTGTTCCCAATGAAGTGCTGAGCTACAGAAAGTTCTTCATCTGTTCTAGGGAGAACTTACTTCTTTTTAAGTGTTCTGAACTGTATGTGCAAAACCAGACCTTGTACAACAAAGAGGTGCTTTACACCCTCTCCACTGCTGCCCATGAAACTAAAGCTGAAACTTTTCATCCCAAACACGCATTCTGCACATTTACTTACGTGATAAATATTCATGGCAAAAGACACCCGCAGCACAGGCTGAAGTGTCCTACCTGAACAGCTCATTTCTGAACCAGACTGTTAAAGACACTTGACTAATCCCTCATGTTCTGTGTCTTGTAAATGTTCTGGTTACAGAGCCCGCCTCCAGCTCTCGTCCCCCGCAGCCGCCCCGGCACAAGCACTCCTGGTCACGGTCGGTGCTCAGAATCCTGCTTTTCCTGCTGCTGTGTGTCCTCTGTGTTTTGGCCACCTGCAAGCTGACAGAGCTGCAGCGTCAACCTCTGTGTGTCAGCGTGAACACTCTCTACGAGGATGTGGTGGCTGCTCTGCAAAACCACAAAACCCTTCAAAACATGCTACAACAGAACTCGCAGCAGTGATTGTCCTGGATGGGCACTTGCTTTGTCAGCATCTCCTTCCACCATCTACGCAGCCAGAATTCCTATGGAATTGTGTTCTGATGAAACTGCTTTTAATCAGTCAGCATTGGTTTGCTGGTCCACTCCACACAAAGCAGAGTTATTGTTCACATCATCCTTGCTGTGCATGTTTCTCAGTTGGCCTGTAACTCCCATTACTTGCCTACCTTAACCTAAAGTCTTTAACACTTCTTACCTCCAGGGGATGTTTAACCAGATAGTGAGATACAGCAAGCTGCCAATCTATACGAGTGGGAAAAAAAGAGCCTTTGCATTATCTAGGTAGCTATAGCTCTGTCTTGGAGGTGGAAGGTTTTTAATACATACCCATTCCTTGCTCTCATTTCTATTTGTGCTAAAATTGATGATATGGCTGTATGGGAATAATGGAGGCCTACTCCAGGACCAATTACAAGCGTGTAGGATGGCTGTGCAGCCATGTGTTGGAGCGAAGAAGCTGATGTACTAGTGAAAGGAGCTGAAAATTTTCAATACAACAGTTTTCACAGCAATTTGTCTCAACTGGATGTTTATGTTGCTAATGTGGTTTTAATTTCAATTAGCTCTTTTAGAAACAGCCAACACATTATTTCCTAGTACATACAGTAATGATTTCTAACTACATTGAAGCAGCTGGTGCCAAAAAAGTGGCTGCAGCATACGGAAGGCTTGGGGCCAGCCTGGAGGCTGGTTTTATGTCTGAGACCCAGGGACAGGGTGCTGGCAGTAGCCGTGGGTGCTGAGGAAGGCAGGCAGAAAAGGGCTTTGCCTCAGGGCTTGCTGGGAGGTTTGGTTTGCACCTAGAAAAGAAAACTCGCCTATGCAAAGGCCTGTGAATTATTCATAGTTTCCTTACAGAGAAAAGCAAACAGATGTTTATCATACCCTTAAGGGCTGTGTGAGTACCGAGATGTACACATTATGTTGTTAAGCATGGATATTCTCTGAAAATCGTGCTACAGACTCCACTGAGACATCTACATTAGTCACAGAATCGCTCCCCTCTCTTCTAATACCTGAGATTGTTGCTGGTAAGAGGACTGCTGTGAGGGAATGAACTGTAGCATTCCATACCAAGGTCATCATTGAAGCCTTAAGCCTTCGTCTTTTTGTAAGACTTTTTGTAAAAGTCTGGTTTTCTAAGTATCACACAGAAAAAAGCAACAGCATGAATATCAAGTAAAAGGAAGGAAAGACTGCCTATCTCCACCTTAGCAGTATGTATGTTTGCTGAAGTTCTTTAAACAGGTTTACATATTGCTTTTGGTACCTAACTCATCACATTCTTTAAAAGGCCCTTGCCTGCTATCCAGAAATGTGCAGAAAAAAACCCAACAAACAACATCCAAAGCAACATTTCCTCTCCACAGACATTCCTGCAGCATCTGGCAGGAACCTGCTGCTTAAGTTCATAGAATCACAGACTGGTTTAGGTTGGAAGGGACCTTAAAACTCATCCAGTTCCAACCCCCTGCCATGGGCAGGGACACCTTCCACTAGAGCAGGTTGCTCCAAGCCCCTGTGTCCAACCTGGCCTTGAACACTGCCAGGGATGGGGCAGCCACAGCTTCTCTGGGCACCCTGTGCCAGCGCCTCAGCACCCTCACAGGGAAGAATTTCTGCCTCAGAGCTCTTATCAATCTCCTCTCTTTCAGTTTAAAGCCATCACCCCTTGTCCTGTTCCTACAGGCCCTTGTCCAAAGCCCCTCTCCAGGTTTCCTGTAGCCCCTTTAGGCACTGGAACTGCTCTAAGGTCTCCCCTTAAGGAGCCTTCTCTTCTCCAGGCTGAGCTCTCTCAGCCTGTCTCTAGAGCAGAGCTGCTCCAGCCCTCACAGCACCTCTGTGGCCTCCTCTGGACTCACTCCAACAGCTCCACATCCCTCTTGTGTTGTTGCTCAAGCTGGATGCAGGACTGAGGGGAAGTCTCACCAGAGTGGAGCAGAGGACCCCTCCCTCGACCTGCTGGCCACTTCTTTTGATGCAGCCCAGAACACAGCTGGCTTCTGGGCTGCAAGTTCCCAAATGCCAGGCTGATCAGGTTTACCAGTTTGGATCAGAAGTGTGCTGCTGGCCAGGGAAAGGCTCTTACTGGACCCCTGAAGCCAGCGTGGCAGGTGGGTATTTTTTCATCCAAGACAACACATTTCCAAAGGGTAACTTCCACACATCAGATGCAGTTTAAAATTCACTCCCAACACTCATCTCAGTAAGTGCTGCTGTCACAAAAGACTTTAAGTGTCCTTTTGTGCACACAAGTGCTAACGGCTTCACAGAGAGGCAAGCATGCTCCCCAATCTAATTAAAAGAAAGCTTTTTCTGCCAACTGTTCAGCCCTCATAATTCCAGCACATATAATCAGATTTCAAGACCCTCTATAGATTAAGCCGTCTGGAGACTGAATCAGGGCAGTCTAAATTTATATCTGAAAATTAGTCTTACTCATTCCCATCTGCCATAAAGGAAAACTGAGTCTGCTTTGTGAGGTAAAGCTCTTCCACCTCACTAGAGCAGGTGCTGGGGGGAGACTACACCATGTTGCTTTAGCATTAGGATCTTTCACACTGGCGAGGGAAGACAACTCCTTGCAGTTTAGGACAGCAGTGGAAAGTATTCCTTTCAACAGATGACAGACCTGTCTAGATTCAAGGCCGGTTATTAAAAAGCAAAATTATTAGTCAAATGATTTATTTACTAGGAAAACAAATAAAAGGAACTATCATTCCTCTAAGCCGCGCCCATCTCATGCTCTTAGGGAAGATGTTCTCCCCATTTCTTGTGTAAACTCCAGCCATTCAGCAATTTAATCCAACTTTCTTCTGCTACAGTGAAGTCCAAGTGCATTTTAAGTCTTTTAACTGGGATCAATGATTTTGTTCTCTAAGCGCTTCTCCCCAGAAGGAAGCTGAATACTTAAACCAGTAAATACTTAAAGTAGCAAACAGTAAAATCCTCATTCCGTGGAGCTACCCAGTAATATCCAAATAGAGATCAGGATCATGGGAAGTCATCTGGAGATAGACTCGTCGGGAGAGCTCCGGTCCGATGCGCCGGGAGGTGGCTGTCACACCGTCACCACGGTGCACAGGGATGTTAGCCAGCATGTTCTCCCGCTCCTGCTCTGAGGAGCACCTCATATAGGCCTAAAAGCAACACAAAGAATCAAGAGTATCAACCATTTGCATCCATTGCTCAAAAGAATAATTAAAGCTTTGCATCCGTGGCTGCACTACCCTTGTTCACAATGTACGCTTGATTTTCACCTGGTCTCTCCACAGATCTCATTTGTGAACTTCACCGCCTCACTAAGCAGCTCAATACAAAATCCTTATGTCACATTTAATACCAATTAAATGATGTCTTCCACTCGTTACATTAGCTGGCTCTCTGCACACAGTGCTTGCTATTCTTGAGGCATCCTCACCTGGTTCAGGAGCTGAGGAGAAGGGTAGGTGGACACAATAGCCTCAGCCATCTCCAGGCTGACCCGGTTAAACTGTTGTAATTGTCTCTTCCAAACTTCCAAGAGACCCTTTCCAGAACGATCCACCTTCACCCCTCCACACCACGCCTTCTCTAAGTAGAAGGAGAATCCCATGTTCTCCCGCTCTCGCCTAGGGAGAACAAATAGAGGAGCAAATGAGACAATGAGATATGAAGAAAATCCCATTCCTCCATGAGTTGTCACATAACCAGAGACAGAGACATTTCTCACTCTCTGCTGTTAGAGATGCCATTGGCATCAAAGTAAATGCTAAAAACTTGACCCTATTTTCTTTACCTTTCCTTGTTTAAGACCCAGATTTCCTACTGAAAAAGAAACAACCTGTGCTTGGGAGCAATCCTGACACGAGCCAACACACACGCAAAGTAGTAAACAAGAGTTCACTTTCTGACTGTCAACCATACTAGAACACTTTTAGGTGTCATTTTTAATGACGTCTCCCCTCTTCTCATGGCTGAGATGTCAAATACAGCAGCTGCTGTGATAGGAATACTAGGATTGTGTGAGACTGCACAAGATGGCTTTCTTAGCTACTGGTGCACAACATGCTGCTGTCCTTATCATTGAAAACAGCTAAAGGGTTCACACTCAGTAACGTCTCTCTTGGTTACACACTGAAGAAAAGCTGGTGCTCTAAAAGCCCAACCCTACTTGCATTCCCTTCCCACTCCTAAAATCAGACCAAGAACAAGAGCTTGATGTTAAGATTCCAACATGAAACCAGGGTCTGTCCTCACCCCTCTCTAGGCAGGAATTCAGTTTCCAAGATCTAACCTTATGCTGAAGGAGCTGCACTACAGCTGCTCTGTCCCCTGCTCCTTTAAAGATCATTACCGTGTGTTGTAGTGCAGTACAGCTGCGTACCCGCTATCCCCTCCTGGCACTGTGCAAGTGCAGCCCCTCGCGACCAAACCTCATCTGCTTACTCACTTGAAGGGTGCTTCAGCCACAGATTTTGTGAACATAGTGGCATATACTCCAAGCTCCTCCCAGCTCTCAAAAAAGCGGACTTGGACTTGTTTGCACAGCTGCAGGTCCACCAAGGCCTGTAAACATTGTTAGAAATGAATGGAACAATTCATCTTGTCACATCTTGACAAAAAAAAAAAAAGGGTCACACATCTTGCTATAGGACAAGAACATCCCCTCTCTCCCCATTTTGGGAACAGGTAATTGAAGGCACTGAAGTATTTAGGGGCAGTCTGTCTCTTGCCAGTTAGTATCAGTTTAGCACCTGTGCAGCTCCTCAGTGGCAGCTCTCATTAAACACAGGCCACCCAGCCCAGCTTTGCCAGCAGCCCACCAAGGGTGAGAGAAGCTAACCAAGACTGACATCAGAATCAAGGTGAACAAGAGAGTCCATGGGAGAGCAGTCCATGAGAGTGGGGAACTGAACCCAAAGAGCTCTGTCCACACACATGGACTAACAAAGGCTGAATCCCTCCCACCCAAGAAGGTGTGTGAGTGGGTCAAACGTTCCAGCAGCAGGCAACAAGAGATGGTTGCTGTGTGCCTGTTTTAAAGGTACTCACTTCTTCCACATCCAATCTGGTTATTTCCAGGCCAGAATCCTTAACTGCCTTTTTTTTCCGTCTTCCTTGTTCCCCATCTTGGCTTCCATTTGCTGTTGCTTGTCGCTGTCTCTTTTTTGACTGAAGTCTGAGAGACCAAAGAAGAGTGAAGTGAGGATGGGATCTCATGATCTTCCCCAGGTATTTTGTGGTGATGGGCTGGATGAGTCTTTACTTCTGTTTCTGTACAACAAACAGTGGAGCAGCTCTGGGTGGGAATGCCTCTTATGATCCAGTCTTTGCTAGAAGGAATTAATGTAAAGACCTATGGCGTTTTTCCAGGCCAGAGACAACACAGAAATGTTTGGAGGAAAAAAAAGTTTAACCTGAAATAATTTTCTACTTCAGCAACCGCCAGTGCTAGAATCTTCCCAGGCATTTTCTCCATCACACGAGCTACGTAGGTCTGTAGGGTCTCCTGTCCTTCTATACAGGCCTGGGCCTCCTGCAAAGATGAGCAGAAAACAGGAGTTAAACCACCCTGAGGTACACACACAACTGTAGCAGCCTATGGCTCTGATTCTGCAGGTGAAAACATCTGTTCATGCTGCTCTTCAGGACCAAGCATGCAATATTTGATCTGGCATAAAGCTATGGCAGAAAGAAACAGAAAATAACCCCATTTGAGCTGACAATGTTTGTCAGAATGACAATGTTTGCAGAACTTTGCATTATACAACCCTAGTGGCTTTAATCCACTAATCCATGAAACCATGGCTCCATCCCACATCAAAACCTTCCTGCCGTGAAGAGAATGATGAACACCACCCTGAGAGCACAGCATGTTCGAGTGCACAGAAGTCATAAGCATTCTCACTTGTTTGTAGTTGTGAGCCATGGACAAAAACTCCTCCAAGCGAAGCAGAACCAGGACATTTGGTTCTTCTGTCCATTCATCTCCTTCTCCCATCTGTTTGGATAGAAAAACAAACAGCCAGACCAACAGTCTGTTTATCATTCACTCCAACCGGTGCTCCCACTCAGCCCTCTGAAGCAGGGAGAGGATTAGAGGGTGTTTACTAAATACAATTACTAACGAGTGCAAATAACAGAGGAAGAAAAGGGCAAGAACATGGAGATTTGGCTTGCGCACCTGAAAGGACACAGTCTTTCTCCTCCAGGTGATGCTACAGGGAACAGCCTGATCCTCAACCACACAGGAATAATTTGCAGCCTGCAAAGCACTAAAGACATGTTCACCACCTTCTACCTGCAACAGAACTGAGATCGATGCATGGGTCAGACCTTCACACAGAGGAGACAACAGGCAATATAAGGCTGGGAAGACAAGTACCTGGATCTAGCACCACTGTGATGTATTTCTGGCACTCCCCTGGCCGCTGAGCTTTCAGCATCTTGGCAAGGGCCCTCTTCCTCTCTTTTTCCTCCTCCTTTTGCCTCCTCAGCGCTTCTCGCTCCTTCCTCCTCTGCCACGATCGGCACATTGTCTCCCTTTCCTTCTGACTACGGTTTAGCTTCTTGGGAAGTGGGGATATCTCTGGGCTTGCTCCGCTTACCAGGGGCATATTAGGCTGGTCTATGGAGGTAGACTGAGATGCTGGCAGCAGGCACAAGGAGGGTCTCTCAGCACCTTGTGCGCTCCCTTGGCTGCCACAAGTCACTTCAAACCCCGTATTCCCTGCTTCCATCCTCCCTTTGATCCTCTCAGGCAGAGGGACGACCTCCTCCTCGTCGCTCCCACTGCTCACTACCACGACCATCTCTGCCGCACCCCTCGCTTTAGAGGCGGGAGATGAGGACCGCCGGCGACCCAAATCGCAAGGCGGCGATGGAGATATCTGCAGCAGGGAGGCTAAAGTCGGCAGCCGTTCCTCATCGCTCCCCTCAGAGCTCCGACCGCTTTCCGCCATCCCGCCTTCACCTGAGGTATCCTGAGGGGAAGCCCAGCGCTCATGGTGATTGGTCCGAAGGCGCGCGCGGCCGGCCTTCGGACCAATCGCCGCCAGCCGCGCGCGCTTCCCGCCCTCCCACCGGAACGGGAAGAAGATGGTGCTAGACAAAATGGCGGCTCTGCGGCGGTTGTGTGAGTGAGGGGTTACCTTCACCTTCATCTTCATCCCTTTACAGGGTGGGGAAAAGAGGGAAAGCCGGCCGTGGGGTGGGAGGATTTACTCGGAAAAAGGGATGGGGTGTACCCCGTGGGAGGTCGCTGTCGGTGGCTCCGCTTTTTACCTCAGGCCGCGGAGGTGCTGTGGTGAAGCGGGCGGGTTTCAGGCCCCGCATCGCGGGGTTGTTCGTGCGGAAAGGGGTTTAAACCACCTCAGGTGGTTTAGAGTACAGTGTGCTGAAAGCAGGGGCTGAGGTGAGGGTGGAGTGCTGAAGGCTTTATCCCTTGTGCATTCAGAAACCTCCAGGGATGAGGAATGTCTGTGCTGCTGTTTGCCTTTAAAGTGGAAACATAATCTTTGGGGAACCAGTATTCACGTGTGTTGGGTAGAAACCAAACATTAAGGGGGGCTGCTGTCTCCTTGCGGAGTGTAATAGTCAGGGAACTCTAAAAATACCCCTTTTTAATTGTTAGTTAATAAGTGTTAGAGGCCAGAATACTCTTAATCATTCTTTGGTGGCCCAGGACACAGTTGGCTTTCTGGGCTGCACACTGCCAGGTCGTGTTCAGCTTCTCATCAACCAACACACCCAAGTCCTCCTTAGGGCTGCTCTTAATCCAGTCTCTGCCCACCCTGTACTTGTGCTTGGGATTGCCCTGACCCAGGGGCAGGACCTTGCACTTGGCCTTGTGGAACTTTGAGGTTTCCGTGGCCTCACCTCTCAAATTTGCCTGTGGATCCACCCATCAAATCCATGTATTTCCAGTTTAGAGACAAGGATGTCATACGGGACAGTGTCAAATGCCTTTCACGAGTCCAGGTGGATGATGTCAGTTGCTCTTCCCTGATCCACCAGCACTGTAGCCCCATTGTAGAAAGCCACCAGATTTGTCAGGCATGATTTGCCCTTAGTGAGTTCATGTTGTCTTGTCACCAGTCACCCCCTTATTGTTCATGTGCCTTAGCATAGTTTCTAGGAGGATCTGCTCCATGATCTTGCCAGGCACTGAGGTGATCGTGAGCAGTCTGTAATTCTCTCAGTCTTCCTTTTTTCCCTTTTTAAAAATAGAGGTTATGTTTCCCCTTTTCCAGTCATCAGGAACTTCAAAGGGCTGGCACAACTTCTCAGATGTGATGGATAATGGCTTGGCCACTTCATCTGCCAGTGAGGACCTGTGGATGCATCTCATTAGGTCCCATGGGCTTGTGCACCTTCAGGTTCTTTAGATGGGCTTGAACCTGCTCTGCTGAAGCGGGCGATTCTCCATTCTCCCAGTCCCTGCCTTTGTGATGGTGGTGTGGCTGCAGCTCTTGGCCTTCTCCATGTCCCATGTGATCAGGTCTCCCTTTTCCTTCTGGAAGGGGCCCACATTTTCCCTTTTCTTCCTTTTATCCCCAGTGTACCTATAGAAGTTTCTCTTGTCGCTCAGGTACAAGACCAGGGCAGTGAGCTTGCTGCATGCCCTCCTCACTGCCCAAAGGATCTTGATCTCCATTTCATTGTCACTGCAGCCAAGGCTGCCCTTGAGCTTCACATTCCCCACTAGGCCCTCTCTGTTGGCAAGGACAAAGTCCAGCACAACACCTCTCCTCATTGCCTCCACTATCACTTTATCATTCGGAAAAGGATGTTATAATCAGCGCATTCCAGGAACCTCCTGGATTGCTCCTGCCCTGCTGTGTTGCCTCCAACATTTATCAGAGTGGTTGAAGTTCCTTGCAAGGACCAGGGCTTGTGAATGTAAGGCTGCTTCTGTCTATATCCATAGGGCCTCATCCACTTAGTCTTCTCTTGGTTGGCTCCTCCTCCATCCCCAGGCAGAGCTCCATGCCCTCCAGCTGGTCACTGACATAGAAGGTAACACCCCCTCATGTCCCTTGCCTGTCCTTCGTGAAGAGCTTGTATCCTTCCATTCCAACACTCCAGTCACAGGAGCCATCCCACCATGCCTCTGTGATGCCAGTAAGTCCATAGCTCTGTAGGCTTGCACACACCTCCCACTCCCCCCTGATGAAGCCTCCACTGGCTGGAGTGGCAGGAATTCCTTTGTGTAGCTCTTCAGGTGCTCTCCTGCTGACCCTGCAATCCCTCTCCAGGCTCTGGGCACCTTGCACTGGCATCAAACTGGTAGGAGTGGGACAGATTGAGGTTCCTCTCCCTGGGAACTTTAGTTTAAAGCCTTCTTCACCAGCTTTGTGACCGAAGATGCTCTTCCCCTTCTCAGACACACAGAATCATGTTTCTCAAAGCAAGTCCCATGGTCTAAGCAGCCAAACACCTCCCTGTGGCACCAGTCGTGTAATCATGTGTTGATCTGCTGGATTTCACAGGCCCTTTCAAACCCTCCCCTTCAACCAGGAGGATGGATAAAAAACTGCTGTGCTCCAGAGTCCCTGCTCACCACTCCCAGGGCTCTATAGTTCTTCTTGGTACTCCTCAGACTGCTTCTGGCACTATCTGTTGTGAATATCTGCTTGTGCATCATCCTGGAGCCTTCTTACTTGTAAGATTGCAAAATATTATTGTGTAAGTAAATACCATTGGGTCAAAGGAGAGACTGAAACAGAGATCACAATTTATCTCTTCTCCAAGCAGTATCAGTCCAATCCACAGCTGCCAGGAACATCTTATTTTACAAGGTCTTGCTGAAGCATGAATTTGTGCACGTCCTTTAACATCATTGCTGAGATCATTCCTCCCTGGGCAGCAGCAGCAGCACTTGAGATGTAGCCTCTTAAATGCCTAAGCATGTAAACTTATGGTCAAATTATGGTTTCTCTTGGAAGTACATGTTTTTTTTTCCTCCAGACTTTCTTTTACCTTTAGCTTGAAAGCCTGTCTTAACTGATCTCCTTTAAATCTGAAAGAAAGAAAGCGTGTTAATAGCTTTTTCCAGCTAATGTTGTGGTTCTTGCTTCAAACCCAGTTCTGACAACTCCCCAAACAAGTCTGGTTGCCATCAGATGTGCTTCTAAGAAAAGTGGGAGCAGCTCAAAAAATCTAGGTGGCCGCAGCCCTGGGAAGCGCTACGGGTTCAAGAAAGTAGAAGGTAGGTCCTGAGTATCTGCTGAGTCCCATTTGTTGGGTTTCTCACAGCTTCCCCCTGGTACTGGTTGCAGCAGGAGGTGGCCAGGGCACTCTTCCAAGAGAATGGCAGGGGGAGGGTCAGTGAAACCTCATGATCAAGGGTAGCTGGTGGGAGGGCAGGGTGAGCCAGCCAAAACTGCCTACAGAAACCATGCTTTGATTCTAACTCTGCCTCTCTGGAGCTCCTGGAAGGAGGGCAGGCAGTGGGACACTTTTTCCCCCCAGGCTGCACTGGAAAGATGGGTATTTGAGATGTTTACAAAGAGGCTTAGCAGAAGCCAAAGTACAGATTCTTGCACCTGAGTGCTTATAATTATTACCTTTGCTAATGAAAACATACTGATATAAAAGGTAATAAAACAAATACCTTCAGCAACCAGAAAATGCTTTGCACCCTCAAGGAATCTTTTCAAAGACTAACATTTTTGCCATTGTATAACAATTGCCTTTTATTTCCTGCTAGCAGCATTTTTGGTTAAATGCTTTTAGCATTTCATGTTCATTTTTCCTTAGAAAATTCCCACCAAAAGCTGAGGTTTGTAAGTCCTGGAACCACTTGTGTTCTGGGGAGCTCTGTCTCTCTGCAGCCTGACTCTGTCACTCTGTTGCAGGTGCCTTTGTGCATGCAGGCAACATTTTGGCTACACAGCGGTTGATACGTTGGCACCCTGGGGCTCATGTGAGTTGTTTTCCATCTCTTCCTTGGTTCCCAGAGAACAGGAACCCACCGGAGTCCTGTACTAGGTGCCTTCTCTCAAGCTCATTCTTAATGCTCTTCCCTATATTCTATATAATTCTGAAATGGGATTTCATGACCTGGTATTTCTTAGTCACAGAGCCACACCAGTGCCCCTGTGGCTTGGGAAAGGTCTGAAAGTTATGGATATCCCCAAACACCTCTGCAGCCTTGTGCTTCAGGGTGGAATCAGCATCTCCTCCCTCGTGATGAGCACCATTGTACACTGGTTGCGGGAAGCAACTAGCGTGGTTTTGTTCTAAAATACAAAGCAACAGATGCTGTTGAAACCAGGATATCAAATGCGGCAGACCAATGATGAGGTCTGCTTTAGTGGTGGACCTCCAGCCTTTCCTTCCTAACACTCCTCATCCTCTTCCAGGTGGGGATGGGCCGTAACAAGACACTTTACGCCCTGGAGGATGGGATTGTGAGATACACCAAAGAGGTCTACATCCCTCTGCCCCGCAGCAGTGAAAGCAGAGAAGTGATCTGTCGCCTACCCAAAGGAGCAGTTCTTTATAAAACCTTTATCAATGTTATCCCTACCACAGAAGTAGGAAGCTTTAAACTGGTCACCATGCTCTGAGCCATCACACAGGGATGGATGGGAAGGAGTGACTGGGACATACCACTACAGCTGGACCAGCATCCGAGGACAAGAATATCCTAGCTCTGAAGGTACCAGTTTAGGACTTTTTTTCTTGCTCCTAAAGCACATGTGGGCAGTGCTCAGGTGCTGGGATCACCTGCAGGCATTTCTAAGAGTGTTTAATAAATGCTGCGGTGCTGCTGAAGGCTTTGGCTGTTCATGGAATGCATTACTTGTATTCATTTACCATCTGAAACTCCCTTCCTCTGGGGAACCTGTTCCATTATGCCACTGGATGAGTTCTCTCCACAATCTCTCTTAGGTCATTACTTAATCCCACTAATAATTCCCTCTATTTTTGCTCATTATTAGACATTACTTTTGTATCTTAATTCAGAATACTGCAGGAGTGATCGTTTTCCACCTGCACCTAACTCTGTATCCCTGGAAGGTAGATCTTTTCTTCTAACTCATCCCAATGATTAACTCAAGTATCTGGAATATAACTCAGATACCATTTACTAGCCACAAGAGGCAAGTTCACACTTGTAAAGCTAACTCATGACTAATTGTCATGGGAGGATGCACAGGCCTGGGGTGGTATTTGAAGCTCAGCAGCTGGAGGTGTATCATAAGGCCATAATCTAGAAGACATCCTTTTTGTCTTCCCCTGAGTCATTCCATGACATTTTTTGAGCTTCTGTTGCTCAAAAGAAAGAAGCCCCAATACCTTGTGGACAAACTGATCTCATTTTATCTACAGGTTTGTAAACAATTTGAAACATTGGCTCTGCAGTAGAAAACAGGTTATCAAAATTAATGGTGTAAGGACACCGGTGTGGATGCTATTAGATTGTCTGCTCTGCAGAACATGACTAAGTAAATCAGGTCAACCACGCATGTCCACCTTTGCTTTACATTCCCTGTGGTTCATAGTTCACCAGCTATTTTGGCTGCCTTTCTGTTCTTTCCCAGTCACACAGTTCATCTCTGTGGTTGGTATTTGCATACAGCAGGTGACGCTACCCCTGGGGCCTCTCCAAACCTTTTGTGAAGTCCATACAAAATCACTGTTGGTCACAGAGGACCATTGCTGCAGGAGCACACAGCAGTGCTCTGATGCTGACCCATTCTGCTGCTCTCAGGTGAGGATTCCCACCTGGCAGCCAATACACTGATAAGGTAAAACATTTCATAACCTAAGAAATAAGTGAAGCAGCACAACACCGTGACTGTCTGAGGCCTGATCCTTGGTACAGCTGGCAGTGCTTGCCTCACAGAGGTGCCATATGCCAGCTGCCTGGACGAGCTCTGGCTGAGCAGACCTTCCCTTCCCCTTGGCTTTGTCCCCTGTGTGGAAGCAAGCAGCTGGTCTCTCGCCTTTGGTGACAGTACGTTTGCCAGAGCACACATCCCTGGTTGCTCTGCCTGGCAGTGGCTCTGTGGTTGTCCTTGTGCTGCAGGAGGGATGTCTCTGGTGGCCAGGTCTGACTTGCCTGTGTCTCAGCTGATGGCAAACCTGGGCAAAGGTCTGACATTTGGCCATTCCCTGCAGATGAGAACGATGTCACAGGCACTTCTGTCGCTGACACCATAGGAAGCAGCAGCACACTGAGGCCTTACACGGCTGTGTTTCGCCCAGTTTGGTAGCCAAGAGGGGCCTGGAAAGGGTCTGGCACACCACGTCTGTCCAAGGTCTCTGAGCTTATCACTGGTCCTGAGAAAGCTGGAGGATGCCTCAGAGCATGCTCATAGGGAGGCGGCATCTATTTTTACAGCGGATCAGAAATAACCAGATTATCCCACCTCTTCTCATGGAGCAGATGACAAGGCTTCCAACCACCACCAGCTTGAAATCAAGCTCCTGCAGTCCTCCAAGCAGCAGGCTGCTAGCCAGAGGAACTCCTGGGAGATGAGGGCTTAGCACCCTCATCTTGCACCTTGCAACACAGTAGTGCACGCTGAAGAAGCACTTTCCCCCTGCTCCCACCAGGTCTCTGTGCCAGGTTCCAGCTCTTCCCTGGTCCCCTTCAAGGACTGGTCACTACTTGTCATAAGGCCAGAAGAGGTGCTCTTGACTTTTCATCAAGAGGACTCTAGCTCACTTTCCTTTGACCAAAGATCAGTTACTGGGATTATACAGGCATCTACAAACCAGGCTTTCTGCCCAGGTTTTGGTAGCAAGTCTCACTACACAGCAGCAGGGAGGAACCTCCAGGCTGTTATGTGTATTTTTGGCAGAGCTGAGCCAGCTCTCTCCCTGTGAGGAGCCACAGAAGCAGCACAGGGATGTTGTGGAAGTGCTCCCCTTGCAGCTCCTTACCTCCTCATCTTTGGGGCCTTACTTTCTGCCCTCAGGGCTCTGGTTTCAGGGCAGCTCTCATTAGTAACAGTTTCGAACACTGAGTAGCAAGTGCCAGCTAAGCCAGACTTCAGGTACAGCTTTAAGAGCTCAAAATCCAGGCAAACTGGTGAACCTTTAGTGCTCTACGCAGGGTTTCAAATGTTTCTGCTGTGCTTTTGTCAAGGAGGTCTCTGTTCAGTGGGAGTCTGTCGGGACACTGCTACAGGACCTACTTGGCAGATGCACTCACTTTTCTCTGTTCTATTGAAGGAGTGCAAATCTTAAACAGGCAAAGCCGTCCGCTCAGAAATAACACTTCAAGGTAATAGAGAAGGGCCTCCAAAAGGCAGGGAGAAGGAGGGAGTGAGAAACCCTGGAAACCTTGCAGGTCTAAAAATAGCATTCCAGCTTGGACTTGCACCGAGCAGATGATCTGAAGGGCTCACCCTTTCAGCAGCAGCTCTGCCCTGCCTCCCACACTCCGAGAGCTCGATCATTAACCAGCACAGATGAACACCAAAGGAGCCTCCCGATACCCTTTGTGCCCTTCCCAGAGATAAAGGCTGTTGGAGTAAGGCAATTGCAGAGAACAGAGTCCTGCAGCAAGACCCAGATGCAGACCAGAGGTGGGGAACTGCCCCTGGGGCTCTGCCAGCAGCCCGGTGCAGGGGTCAGAGAGCTCACCTCCTGGGAAGGCTCTGCCCACAGCCCGAACCTCTCAGCAATCATCTGGTGGATCTCCCGCTGGCGATCTTTCTTCCGCACGCTCTCGTAGCTGGGCAGGCGGGGCTGCTCCCAGTAAGGGACCTGGTACGTGCTGGGGGGCCCGACACAGAACAGCTCGTCCCCCTAGAAATGCCCAGCCAGAGGAGAAAGGTCAGTGTGGTGGTGGCTTTGTTTGCTAGAAGTTCGTGACTTGGTGCCACCTGAAGTTACCTCAGGGTTTGAAGTTGTAGCTGCCCTTCCTTGAACCCTGAGAGAGGAAATCCTCCCTCCTGAGAGATAATCACATCATGACGTGCTTGGAAGATCCCAAGCCCCAAGGGATCTGCCTGGCACTTACCATGGTGTCCTGTGCAGTATCCCTGCTCCCCACATCCCCCTCCACACGCAGGCAGCACTTACCAAAGCTGCTCCTGCTGCCCAGTGCCTTCTCCCTCTGCCCCAGGAGCCCCTAGATCCCCATAACCATGGCCTTTTCACTGCCATTCCCCCTCTGGCTCCCATCAGGACCCAGCCATTACCTGCACGCCCGGGTTCTCAGCTGCAGCACTCTCCAGGCGCGAGGTTCTGCACTGGGGGCCCACCAGCCGCTGGCTGCTGCTGAAGTAGGGTGGGGGGCAGTCCTGGAAGGAGGCATGAGACATTAGCAAAGCCAAAATCCCTCTCATCCTGCCTGGCAATGAGCAGAAGTGAGCTGGCTCACATGGGCCAGGCTGGGAAGTGGAGCTCTGCAAGAGGGGACAACCATCCTTGCCCTTTTGGCTGATGTGGCTCTCACCACCAACCTCCACCTGCCTCTTTACCAATGCTAACATCCTCACCAGGCACCACAGAACCTGAGCCCAACTGGAGGGACAGCAGCCCAGGCCCAGGTTTCATTCAGACTCAGCAGAACCACCCTCTTGATTCATCTATTTAGGACAGTAAACCAAGCCAATATTCCGCTAGCATAGATAAGAGCTCCATCACATGCTAAAGGTTACGGAAATTGTAAACTCTTATCTACCAAGGTAGTCATTTCAGGATAACGGAGCAAGGAAATCTGCAGAGCAATGGCTGTTCTGTTCCTGAGCAGTCCTGCTCCAGTTAAACTCAGGTCCCATCAACATGTTGAGCAAGAGCGAGCAGAGATCATCTCTCTGTAGAGAGCCTTCTCCCTGACCGGCAGCAAGGAGGGAGAGGAAGAAGGAGCAGAGGCAGTGAAGCAGGCAGGGGACACCCACAGCCTGTTCCCACTCTGATTTCTGCTGGGGACTTCCCAGCCTGTGCTGGACTATCAATTTGCTTTTCATGGCACCAATCTCCATTCACTACCAGCTGAGTCCGAACATCCCCTCTTCTGCCAGGGGAAAGTGGTACCTGTAGCTCTTAACAGCCATCCTGCAGCTCTGGAGGCTGAGCTGTCCCCAGGCAGCCACCAACCACCACAAAAGCAGTGCTGCCTGAACACGCTGCTCTTTTCACCATCACCAGCTCCCCACTCAAAGGCCAGGCCCAAGAAATTACAGCTGTGAGCAAAAGGGGCTTTTGTGTCTCACTGCTCTGCGCTGGGAGCTGCGCACATGAAAGCCACTTGCTGGGGATGCGAGTGGCTTTGTCTGCCTTTGCCCTCAGCTTCCAGCTCCCTCCCCACAATGCATAAAGCCTGACCCCACCACAACTGTGCATCACCCCTCTCCAGGGAGCCAGAGAACCTGCCCGGATCAGGCCTTGGGGATGTTACCACCAACAGCACAGCCAGGGGATGGATCTCTGCAGCAGACTAGGAACAAGGAGGAGGCAGAGCTCGGCTCTTCCCAGAGGTCCCATGTCCATCCTGGAGCACAGTGCAATGGAACAAGAAGCTCGGGGCAGCGGGGGACTCAGGGCAGGAGGACACTCACATACTGGCTGGGGGTCTGGAATAAGCGGCAGGAGCAGAGGAACTGGCAGCACATGGGATCCCGGAGCAGAGGAACTGGCAGCACAGGGGATCCCGGTGGTACAGGAGCAGCAGCTGGATGAGGATTGCCACGATGAAGATGGAGGTTGACACGGCTGCCAGGGAAGGGAGAAGAGGGGAATAAGCCTGTGGGCCCAGGGGCCTCCCTATTGCCTCCCACCTTCACCCCCCAGGGGCCACCACCAAAAGC